GAATACTCTTGATCTCCATGTTGGAGACCTCAACTTGTCCACTAGCCCGGGGATGATAAGGGGTTGACACCTTATGATTGACACCATACTTGGAAAGTAAAGTATCGAAGGCCTTGTTGCAAAACTGGACCCCCCATCACTGATGATCACCCTAGGAGTGCCAAACCTTGTGAAAATATTTTTCTTCAAGAAATTCACCACACTCCGTGCCTCATTGTTGGGAAAAGCCACAACTTCAACCCATTTGGAAACATAATCAACAACAACCAGAATGTAAGTGTTACCACATGAACTCACAAATGATCCCATGAAGTCAATGCCCCACATATCAAAAATATCAATCCCAAGAATAGTGGTGAGAGGCATTTCATCCTTCTTGAAAATTCCACCCGCTCTCTGACAGTCATGACATCTCCTCACAAGCTCACTAGCATCTTTATACAAAGTAGGCCAATAAAAATCCACACCTGAGCACCTTTGAAGCAGTTCTCGTCCCACCATGATGACCACCGTAGGGCGAGGAATGGCAAGCATCAAGAATACTCCTTTGCTCCTCTTCCGGAACACATCTCCGGATCACACCATCATTACAAATCTTGAAAAGGTCCCAATAGTAATCCAAGCTATCTCGTTTAAGCTTCTTCCTTTGGTTAGAAGAGAGCTCACACGGGACAATGCCGGTCACAAGAAAGTTAGCCACATCGGCGAACCAAGATATACTATTCAAAGACACGGAGAGGAGTTGTTCATCCGAAAACGAGTCATTAATTTCGAGGCCATCATGGGGCCTCCCCTCCTCTTACAAGTGGGACAAGTGGTCCGCCACTTGGTTTTCACACCCTTTTCGATCAATAATTTCAAGGTCAAACTCTTGAAGCAGTAGAACCCATCTCATCAACCTAGCCTTAGAGTCCTTTTTTGTCATCAAGTAACGGAGTGCCGCGTGATCAGTGTGCACAATCACTTTGGTACCCATGATATATGGCCTGAACTTTTCCATGGCAAAGACAATGGCTAGTAACTCTTTCTCGGTCACAGTATAATGACTTGGGCATCATTCATCGTTTTGCTTGCATAATAGACCGGATGAAATATCTTGTTGGTCCGTTGCCCCTAAACCGCTCCTACTGCAACGTCACTAGCATCGCACATGAGCTCAAATTGTAAGCTCCAATTGGGTGCAGTGATGATGGGAGTGGTAGTCAATCTATACTTGAGAAGCTCAAAAGCTTTCATGCAATCATCATTAAACACAAACTTTGCATCCTTTTCCAACAACTTGCACTAGGGATTCACCACTTTTGAGAAGTCTTTAGTGAACCTCCGGTAGACACCCGCATGCCCAAGAAAGCTCCTAACTCCCTTGATAGAAGTAGGAGGAGGGAGTTTTGAAATCACTTCAATCTCCGCTTTGTCCACTTCAATACCGTTCTTTGAAATCTTATGGCCGAGGACAATGCCCTCCTCAACCATAAAGTGTCACTTCTCCCAATTAAGTACTAAGTTGGTTTCTTCACATCGGGCCAACACTTTGTCAAGATTACCCAAACATTCTTCAAAGGAGTCACCCACAACACTAAAATCATCCATGAACACTTCAAGGAAGTCCTCCACCATGTCCGTAAATATAGCCATCATACACCGCTGAAAGGTAGCCGGTGCATTACACAAACCAAATGGCATCCGTGAGAATGCAAAGGTTCTATACGGACATGTGAAGGTGGTTTTCTCTTGGTCCTCCGGTGCAATCAAAATCTGATTGTAACCTGAGTACCCATCCAAAAAGCAATAGTAGGCACGCCCGGCAAGTCTATCCAACATTTGGTCAAGAAAGGGCAATGGAAAATGATCTTTGCGGGTCACTTTGTTCAGCTTTCGGTAATCCATGCATACCCTCCATCCGGTGACAGTCCTGGTAGGGATCAACTCATTTTTCTCATCTCTGACCACCGTCATACCACCCTTCTTCGGCACCATTGTACCGGTGAAGTCCATGAATTATCCGAAATGGGGTACACAACCCCTGCATCTAGCCACTTGATAATTTCCTTCTTGACGACCTCCTGCATGGCCTCATTCAACCTCCGTTGATGTTCGCGGAGGGTTTGACATCATACTCAAGTATAATTTTGTGCATGCAAAAGGCGGGGCTTATCCCCCGAATATCAGCTAGAGTCCATCCAATTGCCTTCTTCCGTCTTTGGAGCACCGCAATGGTGGCATCTACCTGCATGTTAGTTAAGCACGAAGAAAGAATAACAGGTAAAGTTGAACAAGGGCCCAAGAATTCATACCTGAGGTGTGAAGGCAAAGCTTCAACTCCAATACGGGAGGCTCCTCGATTGAGGGCTTTGTTGGTGGAGTCTTTCGGTTCTCAAGATTCAAGGAAAATTTTCGGGGCTCATATGTGTAAGAACCCATTCCTTGCGAAGCATTGACATATTCCACCAAGCCTTCATCCTCCGCCACATCATGGTTCAACAACACAGCTTCCAAAGGTTCCTCCATATTTATCACAGCACTGGTGTCTTTAACAATCACCTCGGTCACAAGATCCACAAATGAACATACTTCGTTGCTATTGGGTTGCCTCATTGATTTGCAGACATAGAACACAACTTTTTCATCACCCACCCGAAAGGTGAGTTCCCCTGCTTCCACATCAACTAAAGCCTTCCCTGTAGCTAGGAAAGGTCTCCCCAATATGATCGACACCTCATAGTCAACTTCGCAGTCAAGAATCACAAAATCCGCGGGAAGTATGAACTTGTCGACCCTCACTAACACATCATCAATGATCCCCAATGGCCTTTTCATTGTCATATCCGCCATTTGCAAACACATGGATGTGGGCCTTAGCTGCCCAATCCCCATTGTCTTAAACACAGAATATGGCATCAAGTTAATGCTTGCCCCCAAGTCGCACAAAGCTTTGGCGAAATCGGCACTACCAATGGTGCACGGGATTGTAAAAGCACCGGGGTCCTCTAGATTTGGGGCCATGGAATGTACAATGGTACTCGCTTAGTGCGTCATCTTGATCGTTTCATAATTCATGGAACTCTTATTTGTTACCAAGTCCTTCATAAACTTGGCATATCTTGGCATTTGTTCTAGAGCCTTCACCAAAGGTACATTTATCGACAAACTCTTCATCATATCAATAAACTTCTTAAACTGGTTCTCATTGTTCTGTTTTTTGCAAGCCTCTGAGGGTATGGTGGAGGAGGCCTTGGCAAAAGAGCCTTGGCTTTGGGCACTACCATTTCCAGTATGTCTATCACGTGTTCCCTAGACGAGTTCACATCATTTTGTGTCTCCTCCACGCTTTCATCAATGTCAATTCTCACTTCTTCATTCACAATATCATCACTCACTTTCACATCATTGCTTTGTTCATCATTCTCTTGCACCAACACATCATCAATCACAACCTTTCTTGCATTAGAGGTATTATCAGCACTACCTCTACCACTCCTTGTAGTCACCGCTATAGCGTGGCCTGTACTGTTCCCTCCCTTCGAGTTTACTATCGTGTTACTAGGTAGTGCCCCCTTAGGGCGAGTGTTCAAAGATTGCAAAATCTGGCCAAGTTGGACCTCCAAGTTGCGGATAGAAGTATTATGGGACGCCAACTGGGCATCAGAGTCGGCGTTTTTCTTCATCATTTGCTCAAACATTGACTCAATCCTTCCCATCTCATTGTTTGACGAGCTAGGACCTTGAGACGGAAATGGAGGGGGGTTGTTTGGTTGTTGATACATCGGAGGCCTTTGAAAGCCCATCCCCTGATTCCCTTGATTACCGTTATCCAACCCCCTTGGTTGTTGTTGCCTCCCCAATTGCTATTGTTGTTGTTTCCCCGGTTGCCCTGGTTACCCTGGTTTCCCCAATTTTGTTTGTGGTTCCCCCAGTGGCTTTGGTTGTTGTTGTTCCCACTGTTCCAATTTCCTTGTTGGTTTTGATTCCTCCAATTTCCCTGGGATCACCACTGTTGTTGTTGATTCGGAGCATTGCCCCGTTGTCCTTGGTCATCATACCTATCATCTTGGTTGTAACCACTACTACCTTGCTCAAATTGGTCCGGATTTCCTTGACTTTGTTGACCTCTTTGGCGCCTCTTGTTGACCATCATATTTACCCCCTCCATGGCATTCACTTGTCTTGGAGCTTGAACTTGTTGCAATTGATCTTTTTCCAACTGGTTCATTGTTGTAGTTAACTTTACTATTGCTTGACCATGGTCATGGAGCTCTTTGTGTAGGTAAATGAGATTGGGATCACCTTGTGGCACATTAGCTCGACTCTGCCACATCGAGGAAGTATCTGCCATCTCATCAAGTATTTCACACGCCTTGGCATAAGGTGTGTTCATAAAGTTTCCCCCTGCTAGCTGGTTAACTACACACTGGTTGGTAGTGTTGATGCCACGGTAGAATGTTTGCTGGATCATGGCTTCGGTCATGTCATTGTTCGGACATTCTTTAACCATCGTCCGATACCTTTCCCAAATCTCATGAAGCGGTTCATTAGGCTCTTGTTTAAAGGCAAGGATCTCATCTCTCAGCGTCGCCATATGCCCCGGCGAGAAGAACTTTGCTATGAATTTCTCGGCCAACTCATCCCAAGTAGTGATGGAATGGTTGGGCAACCTCTCAAGCCAATCCAAAGCTTTCCCACTTAGAGAGAATGGGAAAAGCCTTAGTCTCAATGCATCCTCATAAACATTCGTCTGCTTGCTCCCCCAGCATGTATCAACAAAACCCTTGAGATGCTTATAGGCATTTTGGTGTGGAGCTCCATGAAGAAACCCCCCTGTTCCAAGAGTGTAAGCATAATGTTGGTTATTTGAAAGTTACCACCCTAATCCGGGGCGGGACTATTGCACTTGCGTATCCTTCATTGGGCAACGCCCTGTGTGCTGCCCTTGCTGGAGGTGGGGGAGGATTTGGAATATTGTCATGAGGCGGTCGGCCTCTCCTTTGTGCTTGTGCTTCAGGTTAAATCTCATCCACATTATCATCATCTACCTCCTCCCCCAAAGGCAAATTTTCGGGAGCATCATTGTTAAGAGCCATATTGTACCTAAGAGCAATTCACAAACAAATTAGAAAATTGGAAGGAAAGAAAAACAAGACAGGCAAATAGTTAGATAGATAGCTAAAACCGTCTAACTCCCCGGCAACGGTGCCAAAAGTGATCGGTTCCAAGCCTGTACCACTATCAAGTGGCAAGAATGGTCGATGCAGTCTTACCCAACAAAGGTCGGGATAGATTTCCACAGGGAGTTAATTGATTTGGAGTTAGGTATCTAACTAATCTCGATATGCGTGTTGTTCCAAATTTCACCTCCAAACATGGTCATGATTGGATATACTTCTAATGCTATACTATGATATGTTAGAATAAACTAAGTACAATATTTTGTTGTTGGTTGTTTTCAAGGATTAAAAGGGACTAGGGCAGTGACTTCTGCCTAGGTGGGTATCTAACGGGTATCGAGAATTCAAGGAAAGCTTATTATGATTGGGGTCGTGATATAACCATGACACATAGGTACTCACTCTATACCTCTCGATAGCTTGAGTAACTTTGCCCGATTTGACTTTCTCAAGTCCAAATGGGTGTACATGCATAACAAATGATATTGGCTCAAGTCGAGTATTACTATATCTAGATTTAACCCTTTAATTGGGGCTATCAATCTCTTCAATGCACCCCAATTCCTTGTTAGCCTAATTTTCCTAGACTTAGTCTCTCTTTCTCAAGAAGAGTCTAAGTCATCAAGGCACAAATCAGTGTTTGCAACCACCAATTCTACAATTAAAGCATGAATTAGGCCAAATATCACTAACCCATAAACAATTAAGTCGTAAAATTCATGACCCATTAAATAACCACGCAGCCACACTAGGGTTGGGTCACACCCTAGCTATGGGGTTTAGCTACTCATAATAATAGTAGAAATCAAAGATGGAGATGAAATATAAGCCATAATATTCAAATACAAGATGAAAATCTAAAGATTAAAGACAAATCTACTCTAAGATTACTCAAAAAGGTAAAAACTAGCCGTTCACGTGCTCGACAAAATATTACGTACCCTAAAAATGCAAAAAAAGATCTATTTATACTAGGCTAAAATTCCTGAACAAAAATGCCCCTGCAAAGTTTTGCAAAGTCATAATTCCGAACGCGTCCGCGATTGAGCTCTCGCGGCCACGCAATAACGAGCGCGGTCCGCGTTTCTTCAGTTATGGGCTTGGGTTTGACTTGGTTTCGCGGACAGCGTAATTTCATCCGCGTCCGCATGCGCTTCCATAGTGGCCGCGTAATTTGGAAGCGGACCGCGTTCTTCTATCAAGCATGACTTGCAGGGTCTCTGAACTTTAATCAAAGCTCTCAGCGAAAATACCACCGCGGCGGCGTCAGGTATTCCGCGGCCGGCGCTTTTCCATCGCGGTCAGCGGTCACTATTATACCCAAAATATCCTTTCTGAATCTCACTTCCGCAGACCGCGTATTTGTGGCCGCTTCAGCGGTGGACCTTACGCGGCCGCTCTTTTCCATCACGGTCAGCGCTCCGGTCCCAGCTTTGAACTTGTGGAAATTTAACTCCTTCCTGAGTTGATTATGGCTTCTTGCCTCATTTTGACCAAAACCTGCAAGTAAGCACAATAAATTGGTTTTCGTTAATACCTTTACACATTTTTTATCCAAAACCTAAGCAAAAGAGAGCATAAGATAGGTTAAAATTCATAGTTATCAACTCTCTAGTCAAAGCAGTTAAGAAAAGTTACAATAAACCAATTTAAGGCACTTACTTAAGAGTCAAGAACTGAGCCTAGGCGTCACAACTAAGGCACTCACCACTCTCAAGACATATGCATTCAAGGAAAATTGCTTCAACTTAGCACGATGACTCACGCTTCTTTATTCCCATAAAACTAAAAAAAAAATTAACTACACCCGGTTCAATTAAAATCCTTGGAAAAGAACTGCGGCACAAAAAAAATAAAGGGGGAATTGTTACACTACCTAAGAAAGTAAAATAAAATAAAAGACATATTTTTTGATTTTCAAATTTTTTAACTTTTTGTTTTTGTTTTCCCGCTTTCTACTTCAAATCCCTCAAGAAGACAGTCGACGAAATCCATCGTCGGTAAGAGTCGAAACTAAACACTTGCTTACTAACTATTACAGGCCGATAAAATTCAAAATTATGATTACAGACCATATTGTCTAACAAAGCAAGAAACAATCAAACAACACCAACTGGCAAATAGAAAACAAGTACAAATACAATCAAATAGGAGCACCCCACCCCACACTTAAGAAATTGCATCGTCCCCAATGCAAAATAATAAAACAAGAGTGAAAAGGTAACTCTCTGAGGCCCGTGGCCTACTCCTCATCACCACCCTCAAAGGTGCGCAGGTACTATTCATCATCAGAAAGAAGAGAGTTGGCGTCCTCATCTGATTGCATTTGTATTCTCTCGGCCAAACCCAACCATTGCTGAGTGACCGCGGAGAGGGGATGGTTCACCTGCAGCTCTGCCATGTCAACCCCCCCCCCCCCCCCCCGCTCACGTCGACGACGACAC